GATACAAGTCCGAACCTTTAACCTTCAGGCAGGCAATAAGGTCGCAAGCACCATCATATCAATGAGTGGCAGATCTATGAAAATTTTGGATGCATGCCCGAGTTTGGAATATCTTCAGACTACCCAGCATGATGGGCGGAGCCAGCGTAGTCGCATCTATCTTCTGAAGAAATTTTCTCGCTTCAAAATTCATCTTTTGCATCGGACTTGCGCGATTGTCTAGATGGGGACTCAGTGGCATTAAAAGCTCACTACCCACAATTTATATGTAACGATGTCTTTGAATAGAATTTTCGTTCGTATAGATAGCATTTCGAGTTAAAAGACTAACTTGCGGATTCCTTATCGAATGAAGTCTCACACATTTCCAGATGATTTATCAAAAAATGCTCTTTGGACGTCTCGCTGAAGATGGAGAACATCCAGCTGAACAGGTTGCATGCAGTTAGGGTTGCAAGGAATACATACCTGCAAATAAAACAAAATACACTGATAGCAATTACTATATTATTCGTTCATTTACCACGCCCACAGCAAAATGAAAATCTTTTCGGTGAGAACGTTAAGAAGCAAAACACATTGCACGGTATGAGTTTGAATATTGCCCATTTCTCGCACCTAAAGGTCAAAATTTATGATCCATAATCATTGAATTATTGAGACTGACGAATTAAACCAACATCGAAGTCACATAAAGTGACGCGCGGAAAAAGGCCGCTTGTTTCCCACGTTTTATTGCCTCTCCACAGAGAATGCCAGACGTCAAAACCGAACTGATGCAAACTAGCATGAGGGATTAAGTATCTGAATGGGAAATAGCTGTCCGCGATGAATGCAGGAAGATAAAAATAAAACGAAGCCTACAAGCAGAGAGAATAACTCACTGATTCAGCAGCTTTGTCTGTATACCCACATTCATGAGAAACGCAAATTTGGCAATAAAGTATATCAGAGTCACGTAGTAGGTCGTGTACTTTAGATTGAGAAAACGTATAATCTTATGGGGGTACAGTCTTTTCTGGAAGCCATTTATAATAATTTCGGAAAAAGGAAGATCTGAAGCAAACTCGCCATTTTTAACCTCTTTTGGAATCGCAAAGCTCCTTGGAGATGTATGCACAGTGCATGTATGTTTTCTCGTCTAATTTCCGGAACAGTATTATGTTCATCCGTGGCCAGACGAAGTATCTCTCCAACTTTCATACCTAACATGAGCGTGAACATGAAAAAAGACCGATGCATCAGTGTGTTAAGAAACGTACCACTCTGACTAGCAAAGTACTTCCAAATGAAAGTGGGCAAGCGAAAGCACGCAGCTTCAAATAATAAGAAAAATGGCATCCATTGATAGTAGGAAACCTCAAAATCATAGAAGCTGGAACGTCGCAAAAAGATGCAGCAGATAAGGTCTCACCTTAGCAGAGCTTCGATCGACGGTAGTATTGTCAGGCGTATTAGCCAAAGGAGTGGAAAAGGGAACATAATAAGTGTCTTGAGACCAACAATAAACTTCCGCGTACTAAAGATCAAAATTTTTTAGTAGCAGCGTAAAAGGTTCCCAAGCACAAGAATCTTTGGTGCTAAAGTTTTTATAGAACTTAGTGGTAGCATGCTAACGTGACTGCGGATCTAACCCTATAAATTGCAGCACCGCCATCATTTCATCTGACCACCTATTCTGAAGTTTTCACAGTCGTTAGCACTTTGTTCAATCCTCATATTTTAACATTACTATGCCTTAACCATTTCAGCCATCCCACCATGCGATACCGGCACTATATATAGCCTCACGCGTCATTTTCTTTGAACGCTAATGCTATGCTGAAACTACCGAGAACGGACATGTATTGTAAATGCAAATAAGGCCTGACGGAGTAAGAAGTAAGTACATCT